CCCGAAATACATAAAGCTGTGCAATATCAATTTCTGTCAGAGAAATGAAGAGGATATTAAAATTTTCCATCCAATTCCCTCGCGAGAGTGATGGAAACTTCCAGGAAATTCCACATTCTCTAATGCTCATCGATCTTGCAGGGATGTTTAGGATTGTACACAACAAAGCAGCTCCTCCATGCATTATGGATACGGGAACTTTTGCACACTTTGAATATTGGAGCTTCATAATCTGAAGAAATAATTCAGAATTTCCCACGCAAAGTGTTTTCTTTCACTCCCTTATTCAAAAGCTCAGCCCCTCAGCTGTGTGCCATCCCCTCATCACAGATCTCGCGCATTGATGGTGAGAAATTTCTATGAATTTTTGACGAGCAACTTTAGCGCTCGTCCATTGAACAGGCAAGTGGAATGGAAACTGCTGGGAAAAATTATGAGAGATTCTCTTATTCATTTGGATTTCAATGAAAATATCCGAGCAAGAAAGGGATTTTCGCCTTTGCCAAAATGAGCTCCTCATTGTCCTGTTTGCGAAGGCGATTGATAAATTATTAAAATCAAGAAATATAAGCAAAGAATGAATTACAGTCTTGCTGAGAAAACATGCGGATTATGGGAAATATATTTCCAGTTCATGAAATAGAATTCCATGGCAAAATATATACAGCATTATTGCGTTATTTTGGCATTCAATAGAAATCACGAATTGTTTTTGACATAGGTTTATCCAAATAGTTTGATATATTGAACTTGGCATTTTCCACGCCGACTCACGCTTCTCGTGACTAAGCACCGACTGAAATATGTATGAATCAAAACAATCGCTCCTGTGGCATCTCATTCACATTCTGCGGTTGCATAATTGTAATCATATTCAGCAAATGTAGCCGAGCACCCCAGAGGAGACAGTATGAAGCATTAATGACACACATGGGTTTGTCGATATTTGAAGGGTGGCTCTTGTGGCGCTGCACCCCAACATCATCAAATACATTTTGAGGACATAAAATTACAATGCAAATTGCATGCGACGAATGCATAAATGTGAATCCGCACACCAATTGTGCAGTTACAATGACTATTGTATGTATTTTATGGGTGACATGGATCGGGAGAGGGCAGAACAGATTTCTCGAGAGTTTTGTCCTTTAAAGCCTTTCAGTTCATGGGAGCGGAAAATGCTATTCCACGAACCCAACAGGCTCTTTCAGAGCTATAAGGTGCAAGAGTGATCAATGGCCATGAAATCATTATCCTGCTAAAAGTCTCGAGCTGCGTCAATTAAGAAGCCCCGCCCACTCGTATGCCCCGCCTACTTATATTTCTTATCTCCATTCAAACGCTTATATTTCTGCATAACTTCTGTGTGAATCAAGGATTGAAATTTTTGTGACGCTTTTATATTTGCCAGAACCAGTTAAAAATTTAATAGTTTATCACTCCTCTAAATTATTTCGAATTTTTCTCACGGTTTCCATTAAAGGTGATTAGAAAATGTTATCGTATTCAGAAGTTTAAAAATGCCACCGTATTCAAGCAATAAATGGTCTCTTTGAAATCATATTAAAATTTCATAAAATGTTCAAAAATTCATAAACATTCACGTGTTCCATTTTTCATCGTGATTAGAATCAGAGTTTAATTGAATTGAACTCATTAGGTGAAAAGTGCAGTGCGGTCATTGTGAAAATGCATGCAGAATCACATTCAATATTTAATTTTTCGCTTTGCATTGCGCTTCTTATTAAAATTTCAGAGCTGCAGTCCAGGGCTATAAATGGAAAAATAATTATTCAGCGACAGCAATAGAGCCTCAGGAGCCAGGATTACTGTGCGTTGCGCCTGATGTGAAAAGGCTTTCCAGTGAGTGAATGAGGATGAGAGCGTCAGCAGGATTTTGAGCAACTTTGAAGATGTGCTCTCGTGCTAACGGCTAAACGCCTCGCATTTCAGCATTAATAATGCTCCAGTGAAGAAACTAGAGAGCATAGATTATTGCTCTAGTCTAGTGCTTAGGAACTGGCGTGATTCTCTGCGAGGAAAATCATCAGAATCTCTGTCTGACTCACGGGAAATCCCTCTCCAGTCAGTTGAATATTTAATGGCGTGACAGGATGAAATTATATGTATCTCTCCGCACAACACATGAGCACTCAAGGACAAGAAATCCCAATTCACTGCTGGTGAATTCCGGAAATTGCTGCACTACTCAAATAGCATTTAAATCCCTGATTTGTACGTCGAATCTCACTTCCGCCAACCCCCAATTTTCGCTGTTAAGCGCGCAAAAGGGTGCGGGGGAACACGTAAATTCCATATGGCACACAAAATACAAATAATGCCTTTGTGTGCGCCTTTGCTGGGAAAATGAATTTTGAATGTCGCAATGTAATGCAAATATTTTCCACTCGAGCAAGCACAAGCGAAAATCTCAACACTTTCTTCACATTTTCTCCAAGTGATTCTTCAAGACTCACGGGGAAATTTGAGTGTATTATGAATGGAATTTATTATGAGAAATACTACTTAAATATTATACAGTGTACTATATTTAGGTTCCTAAATTTCATTATTCAGTCAATCTTCCAATCAACATGATTTGTGTCTCTGTGCTCGATAAGAATTGTGGGAAGAGCAGATAAGCAATGTGCCAATCGATGCAGTCTTCATTGTCTGTTTGCTTTCAGATTCTCTTCCCCAAAATACGTTTGCTAGACAGCCTGCCTCACTTCCAAATTGAAATATCGACATTTCCTCTTGGCAGCTTCTCTGCGGACGACAACTATGTGGATGACTGCATCTGCCAACTGGGAAAAGGACTCAAACTGCAACGTGCCTAGTGATTAAACTTGGACTCGGGCATGTCGCATCGAGCATCGACTCTGTGGCCTACTTTTCCTCTCGTCCCGCAGGACTCCAGGCCATCGTCCGTATTCCTCAAATCTGCTCCAGAGCGCCAAAGAGTGCATCCGAAATGACGCATTGTCCCTCGCGGGAGTCTTGATGAAGTGGACGGAGATGCAAGAAACACAACTGTGAGACTTTATTTTTATTTACTGCCCCAGCTTTTTTACTGGCAGCAAAAGTGACGAGCAAAATAATGCGAAGATATCTTATGAAGCGCAGGGATTTTACGTTCAATTCGGAATACTTCGACAAGATTTGTATCCAAAATCTTAGAGTTTTCTTAAGCTATTGTTCAAAAAATTGATTTCACCTTTCTAATAAATCTGTGTTACATATTTAGCCTTATCCTATAGTTATTTGGCAGATTTTACGATGTAAAGATATCCGACCAAAGGAGGAACCGAGATCAAGTGAGGAGCTGTGAAGTTCCTAAAAGTTCTGCAAGAAGAACTCATCCCGCGCTCATCCAGAACGCTCTGGGGAATCTTCTCCGCTTTCCACCACTGCGCTTCTTGGCATTGGAAGTCAGAAGTTGGACACAGAGAGAGAGGGAGAAAGAGAGAGTAGAAAAAACACCAAATAAATCCACAACTTTTCTTCCTAGCAAATAAATTTTATTTACATTAAGCATGAGGGAATAATGGAAAAATTCCTCACTGCAATGTGACTTTACCTCTTAAGAGAGCTTTTCTGGACATTCTTGCAGCTCTCGTAGCTTTTGCAGAAGCATTCACTCGTGAAAATGGCATAAAAACAAGAGTGAGAATTTTCCAACTATTGATTATGTCACGAGAAAGTCCCTTTAGTGGTGAAAATCACCGGATTTTATCTATAAAAATGATACTCCACAGTTAAATATCGAAACCCTCATCAATTTTACAGAACATACATTATTTAAATTAAAGCTTTCCTCTATGACCGCTTTGACCATATCAATTAGTGGGGCAATTCTCATCGAGCCACAGTGACTGAATGGAAAAACTTCCTTAATTGCGAGTATTTCTGTCGATTTGTAATGCGCAAAAAATGCGTGTGCAGGAGAGCATGAAATTTTCCATTGCGCATCAATTATGCAAATTGATTTGTGAGAAACAATTATTTCTGCCCGGTGAGAAACTAAACTAATTTATTCCGCAGAAGAATGGGGACAAAGTTTGACGAAGGGAAGAAAAGCCACACACACTTCCTGATAGCACACTTGTAATGTTTGTGCGGCTGATATTGTGCGGCACAACATGTTGATTAGATTGCGGCTTCACAGCATCCCAACGTCGCCACCCTCGGAGGTACAGTGCGATGATTTTAAATTGCCTGAGAGGCCTTGAGGCAAGTCTCAATCTTGTAGCATGAGCAAAGTTATTAATCTCCAGGCACCAATGATCCATCAAAATTCGGAGATGAGCACCGATTTAATTATACACCACCTTGTTTCCAACATTTATTTTGCACATTTTCAATTTCCTCCCGTAAATAATGTGGATGTTTGCCACACGAGAAAGATTATCATCAGACATGCAGACACTATCGATTTATGTCTCAATCAGCGCCGTGTTTAAAATCTCTGTGCAAATCTCTTTATTGTGCGATGTTGAGATACTAAATTTTGCATCAATCATCATTCGAATGTTTTCCCTCCATTTGCTAATGGCCATTTGAAAATCGTTATAAAATAAATATTACACACGATGATTTATTGATATTTTCACATTTCAACTGCAAGAACCTTACGCAAATATGAATGAATCTGATGAAAAATTCAATTTCAATTCATTTTCATTTAAAATTTAGCATCTCCTGTCAATGAAATTAACTCAAGAACGCTTTAAAATAGGGCAATTTCCGCGAATTCAATTCGGTATAAATTCAAAAGCAAGTGTGAGTTTCACAAGTGAAATCAAGAGTGAAAGCTCTCTTAATTGAATTAATTTAAATAATGGCTTAATTATCTAATTGAAAGAAAAAAGCATTGATTAACTTAAGAGAGAATTTTAAAGGAGATGGTAAAAATGGGTAAAAAAGTTTCGCAGAACGTGGTAAAAGTCTAATGAGCTCAATTTTTAACAGTGTTGTTTTGTCATTTTGGTTTCGCTGCCAAGTTCAGGCGGTGTTTTCATTTCCTGCGGAGAAAATCCCCTTTTCCGGCTGAAAAATGCCCTCGCGGGGCGTTTGGCTGGACGACCTGTTCAGTCAGTACCGAAAGTGGGTGAGCGAGAATCCCACGGTCGTGGGTGACGTGGAGACAACTGTCAAGTGGGCTTCCTACTTCCTGGCTGGCCGCTTCAGCAGCTCCAATGTCGTCTCGGAGCTCATCTACTCGCTCTCGAATCTGCTCGTGCTCTTCAATGACCGCATCATCGAGAAGGCCCAGCGACCGGCCCCGAATCCTGGCCAGGAGGAGCGACTGAAGCTTCTGCTCACCACACTTGAGTACTGCGAAGTGTTCATCGAGCTGTCGGCCAAGAGTCTCTGGGGCGAGTCCGGAAAGTGGCTCTTCTGCACGATAATTCAGCTGGTGAAGTAAGGAAGTGAGCTCTGGGAAGGTATTTGTCCATCTCTCAACTACTCTCTGTCACTCTAGATGCTTGGGAAGGCTGATTCTGCTCATGAAATTCCGCGAGAAGATCGTGAAGAATCCCTGGGTGCCGATTCTTAGCCGGAAAAATGAGACGCCAACACAGCCTGTGGACGCCTTTTCGGGACACGGAGTCTACACTTTCACTCTCAAACGCTCTGGCCGGCTGGTCAGGAGGATCGAGGGCGCCCAGCCGTTCCACATGCGCGATGGAAAACCTCTCGTCGACAACTCCCAGTCAAGCTCTCAGGAAGGCACCTTCCTAACCACCCCGGAACTTCTATACGTCTTTAAGCCACTCATCCACTTAGCCTCCGCTGCGGCGTTCGGTTCCCGCAGCTGGAGATCCTGGACATTGTCCCTTCTGATCGACGCCACGAGTCTGCAAATGTACTATGCGAATCGCGACAAATTGTCACGGGAACAGAAGCTGGAACTCTCTCGACGATGCCTGGCTCTCTTCCTCTATCTGATGCGGTCGCCCTTCTTCGACAAATACACCGCTAGGAGGATTGACGGAGTTCTCGGCGCTCTGGCCAGGAACATTCCCTTCGCTAAGAATATCTGCGATCCGCTGTCTTCCTACATTCCGCGGTGGCAGGAGACGTACTTCTACATGTGGTCAACGTAGGGCGATGGCCATGAGGATGAGTCAGGGTGTACTGGAACGGTGGCAGGGATTACAGATATGTATTTTCATACATGTGACTTCAATAAAATGGTTTAGGAAATGACATCGCTGGCCGGGAATATATTTTCAGGTACTCTGGTGATTGAGGAATAGTTTCCGATAAATATCTATCTGAATTGTTGATGAGATGCGCTGAAAAGAGTGTTTCCCTGTTTCCTGACCTAAATAGTGAGGTTAAGTTATTTTCTAAACATAGTAAACGAAAAAAAACTTCGGTTCCGTTCGGGAATTTGAACTCATGAGTACTGCGGTGCAATTATTCTAGAATCTCTCTATTTTCCATCAATTTGCTCATTTTGTGGAAAAAAAATCCACGTATCGCACAACCAGACTTATTTTGTGAGAAAATTGTCTATCTCACTACTCCATAGGCTTGATTACTAGCAGAAATCAAGGCAGAAATGGTAAAAGTCACCTGCGGCGGCTGACCGGCTGAAAGTGGCTCACCGCGCACCTCTCACAGTCAGCGACCTCTGCATTTGACATCTCATTTTCTGCCATGCATGGTAGATCAATTGCAGTGTAATTCGTGAAAATAGTGGTGTTTTTGCAGTTAATCTTGTAGTGTCCGTCACCAAAATGCCTTCTAGCGATCCTCTACCACCTAAAGAAAGTGCTCTTTTCAGAAAAATCCTGGTACGTTGGCGCCCAGAGGGCCAGACAAAAACGGTGCTCTCCTGACGTGCCTTCACGCGGCGCCATTAAACTGGGGCAATATGCCCGAGAGTTGGGTCTATTTGGAGCACTTCGGGCTTCTTAACCGTCTTGTGGGGCTTCGAAGTGCATTGTTGGGAAAGTCGGGAGGGCGTTGGGGTGATTTTTGGGGCTTCGGCGGGTGAATTTACCACGGATTGGGGTAAAAAAGTTCGCTTTATATGGCATATCGCAGTGAAATCGATTGGCAGCCGAAGATTGCCGATTCTCTGGGCATGACATAACCTCACTTGCGCATGGGGCTTTTCCGGGTGGGCCAGCCAAAATAGACCGCCTCTAAAGTGCTTGTTCGACTGGTTTCTTTGCAGAAATGCTACGAGATGAAACAATACAAGAATGGCCTGAAGCTGGCGAAGCAGATTCTCTCGAATCCCAAGTTTCAGGAGCACGGAGAGACGCTGGCCATGAAGGGATTGACTCTGAATTGCCTGGGACGCAAGGAGGAGGCGTACGACCACGTCCGCCGGGGGCTGCGCAATGACCTGCGGTCGCACGTGTGCTGGCACGTGTACGGACTGCTGCAGCGCAGCGACAAGAAGTACGACGAGGCGATCAAGTGCTATCGGAACGCCCTAAGATGGGAGAAGGACAATATCCAGATTCTGCGCGATCTGTCATTGCTGCAGATCCAGATGCGCGATCTCGAGGGGTACAATGAGACGCGGAGTCAGCTGTTCCAGCTGCGTCCGTCACAGCACGCCAGCTGGATTGGCTTCGCGATGAGCTACCATCTCCTGGGGGACTTCGAGATGGCCAACAGCGTCCTGGAGACGCTGCTGCAATCGCAGACGCCCATAGACACGCACGACTACAAGCACAGTGAGCTGCTGCTGTACCAGAACCAGATTCTGCAGGAATCCGGGCAGGTGGACAAGGCGTTCAAGCATCTGGAGGAGTTTGCATACCAGATCGTGGACAAGCTGGCCGTGCAGGAGACCATGGGAGACTTGTGCCTCAAGATGGGACGCCACGCGGACGCTGTGCCCATTTACAAGGAGCTCCTGCAGCGCAATCCCGAGAACACGCTCTACTACCGGAAGTTCGTGGAGGCGCGACAGCTGGAGGGCGATCAGGGGGAGCAGCTGGAGGTGTTCCGCCAGTTCCAGAAGGACTTCCCCTCCGCCATCTGCCCGAAGCGTCTGCCGCTGGACGTGGCGACTGGCGAGGAGTTCCGCCGCCTCGTGGATCAGTACTTGCGTCGAGGACTGCGAAAGGGCGTGCCGCCGCTCTTTGTAAATATGCGCTCCCTCTATGCCGATCCCGACAAGGTGGCGACCATTGAGTCCCTGGCTGTCAGTTACTATGACGCGCTGCAGGAGTGCGGCTACTTCGCGCGGCAGGACGCCGATGACCCTGAGGCGGCCAAGGAGCCCGCCTCGGCGCTCCTGTGGACGCTCTACTTCCTGGCGCAGCACTTTGACCATCAGCGACAGACGGAGAGCGCGCTGAAGTACATCGACGCGGCCATCGAGCACACGCCGACGCTGATCGAGCTGTTCGTGACGAAGGGGCGCATCTACAAGCACGCCGGCGACCCGTACGAGGCCTTCCGGTGGCTGGACGAGGCGCAGAGCCTGGACACGGCCGACCGGTATATCAACTCCAAGTGTGCCAAGTACATGCTGAGGGCCAACTTGGTCAACGAGGCGGAGGAGGTGTGCGGCAAGTTCACGCGCGAGGGCGTGCTGCCGATGGAAAATCTCAACGAGATGCAGTGCATGTGGTTTCAGACGGAGTGCGCGCTGGCGTACCAGCGCCTGGAGAAGTGGGGCGACGCGCTGAAGAAGTGCCACGAGGTGGACAGACACTTCTCGGAGATCATCGAGGACCAGTTCGACTTCCACACGTACTGCATGCGGAAGATGACGCTGCGGGCGTACGTGGGACTGCTCAGACTCGAGGATGTGCTCAGGAGGCATCCGTTCTACTTCAAGGCCGCCAAGTGTGCCGTCGAGGTGTACATTCGGCTGTACGACAAGCCGCTGAAGACGGAACAGCAGACCGAGGAGATAGACACTGGTGAGTTCATGTCTTTCATTTCCCTCTTATCAAGCCATTTAGACTTAGATTGGGATTTATTAAAGTTCGGTGTTTTGTGTTTTTGCAGAAAACCTTCCGCCTTCTGAACTGAAGAAGCTGCGGAACAAGCAGCGCAAGGCGAGGAAAAAGGCTGAACTGGAGAGCGCTCAGGCGGCGCAGGCTCAGGTGAAGAAGGAGCACCGCAATAAGTCGCGCCAGCAGCAGAATGCGGACGGTGATCCAGAGGCGCCGCAGTTGGATGAGTTGATTCCGGACAAGTTGGCGCGTCCCGAGGATTCGCTGGAGAAGGCAATTGAGTTTCTCAAGCCACTGCAGACGCTGGCCAAAGACTGCATCGAGACGCATCTGCTGGCCTTTGAGATTTACTATCGGAAGAACAAGTTGCTGCTGATGCTGCAATCACTGAAGCGTGCTCAGGCGATCGATGCCAATGATCCGGACCTGCACTCGGCGGTTGTGAGGTTTCGCGGTGTGATGGACAAGGCGACGGACGTTCCTCCGCAGGTGAAGACTGTCCTGGACAGGGGCACAGAGTGCCTGTTCCAGGGGAAGACGGCAATTCAGCTGAATGACAGCTTCCTCAAAGCCAATGGCAAGTCAATTCGTCACGTGTTGGAGGCGGCAAAGATTATGTGTGAACTGGAGCCGGAGAAGCGAGAGACTGCCATCAATTTGGTCACGGCATTCGATGTGGAGCAATTGAAGTTGGAGGTGAGTTTGATTTGGGCAGACGATCATTTCATGCATCTCAACCGGTCTTCTTCCTTTCGCCTTTCAGGACTGCACGAGAGTGTTCAATAGTATGAATAAGGGTGACTTTGGTGATGGTGACTGTGCGATAGCGTACAAGAAGAACTGCTCGCGTCAATTTCCCTATGCTGTTGTCTTCAAGAACATGCAGAACCTGCCGTATCTCAAGCCGATGGGCAAGAATCACGTGGAATCGCCTGCTGTACAGTCGCATGATTGCCCGCAAACATCACCAGTCTCATCTCAACCCGCCACGCAACTTGAGCAATCGACCAGTGAATTGAAATGAAATCGAAGAACATTTCTCATACAATACATACATAATTTATGAATATCTCTCCATGATGATGAAAGCGCATAACTATGGGTGTTTCGTAAGTGTATGATGAAGCAAAAGGACACCAAATTTACAAGCAAAAAAAAAATGGGGAAAATCATAAGAAATTTGTACACTAAAAAATAATAGCGATAGAATGAGAAATTTGGTGAATTTAATTGGTATATAAATGAATTAAAAATTTTAGCATGGAAACATTTTCACAACATTAATTGAAGATGAGGCAGAGAGAAGAGGCAAGAGTTTACAACTTAGCGAGGAGTAGCGTTAATTTTAAAAATCGCCACAATAAGGGTCTAGTCTATAAAATACTAGAGATGTGTGAAAGAGAGAGAGATATCGAATCTTCGTGAAGCAAGAACAAAAAAACAACAACTCAAGATATCATTGACCATATAGTGAAGTTTGAAAATATTACAAACCGTGAGAAAGACAACGTGTGTGTGTATTTCTTTGGAGGAGCGAAATTATAAATATGAGCGGTAAAATTGTCAACCCTTATCTAGAATCTTTTAATATTCATCTTTGACATGGAAAAGAAATCATAGAAATGAGTTTAATCAGTGCGAGTTTTTTCTGGTGATTCTGTCCTCACGGCGCAGAATGATAAATTGAAAAATGTGTAACTAGGTTATTAATAAATTGCCGTATAAATACATATTTAGGATCATTTGTAAGCATTTTCCATCTGTCTTTATCCAGCGCATGTTTTTTTCTGGAATCCTTAAACGATGACTCGCGGCTTTTGGACAATTGAAGGAATTGTCTGTCGCTCAGTGGATTTTCAATGGACGCGTGAAAGGTTTTTTAGTGGGATTTTCGTCGTACTAAAAAACAGCTGGCTAAAAACAACAAAAGTTGCTAGTATTTCCAATTTTGCGGCTTTTAAGTGTTTTCCCATCAAATTTCCAGTGAAGATTTCCCAAAATCTACATCTCAGCATGGCCAATCCACTGCAGAATAGCGTGAGTACAGGAAAAGTGCCTGAAATACGGCTCTTTGATGGGTTTTTCTCGTTTTTCCCTTTGCAACTTACTTTGAGGTTATGCTAAATAAAAATGCCCTTCTGCAGGTCATTGACGACTCAGGGATTCCACGGCTTCCCGTCAACACAGAGTCCATCAAGTACAATGACTGGAACATTCAGTACACAAAGTCGCACATCCTCAAGAGTATTTGCACGAACGAGAACAAGTGCAAGCTCGAGGAGCCGAATTGCTGCGAGCTGTGCTTCTACAACTTCTCCCTGGAGCTGCCCAGTCTGCCGGACATGGTGTTCCCGCGCAACGCCCTCGTCCTCACCCACACCGGCGGCGCCGTGCTGCAGTTCAACGCCATGGATGCGCTGAAGAGAGTTTCGAGTGGGCGGCTGGACTTGAAGGTGGCGTTCGCGGACGAGTGGAAGGAGACGCGGCCGGCGGAGTGCACAGAGGTCAAGACGAAGCCTTTCGACTGGACCTTCTCCACCGACTACCAGGGCAGTGCCAATGAGAAGCTGCGGAGCGAACCGACAGAGCTGAAGATCGACGTGACGAAGCTGATGAAGCGCGAGGCGATTATGTTCTATCAGGACATCACGCTGTTCGAGGACGAACTGCACGATAACGGCATCGCCGTGAGCTCCGTGAAGATCCGCGTAATGCCGTCCGGCTTCTTCATCCTGCTGCGGTACTTCCTGCGCGTGGACAACGTGATGGTGAAGATCGTGGACACGCGCTTCCACCTCGAAGCCGGTCTCAAGTACATTCTCAAGGAGTTCACGTTCCGGGAGGCGAAGGTGGATGAGCTGGCCCACCTGCCGCCCAGTCTGCTGATCAATCCCAGCGACCTGGAGAAGCACGTGCCGGTGAAGCAGCAGACGCGGGAGAAGCTGACCTTCTGCGAATAAATCTCTAAATGTATCGTCAAATGTGTTTTATCGCACTGTTGCATGGCGCGCGCGCGCGCACAAAGTGGGGATGCTTTGGAATTCACCTCCGAACGCGCTTCCCCAGCTCGAACGTCACGCCGGAAAAGTGTTCGAGTCAGTGCAGCGGAGGTTTTCGAGTGGAGTGAATATCCGATTCGCGGCCGGTGTGAAAATCCAGTTTCAGGAGCGCCAGAAGTGCAGGAAAAGCCATGGATTACGAGGTAAATGAGACAAATTCCATCTTGACTTCCATTGAGTCTCAAGGTTAAATCTTCGCTGGAGCGTGGAAAGAGGCGAAATTGTGTCTCAAGTGCGTCTCAATTGAGGCAATCCGGTCGCGAGACGAGAGAGGCTGAGTGTGTGAGTCATCGGAGATCGGATGAGAAGGGCAGTGAATCAGGTTCGGAGAGTTAATCTCTGGGAGGATGAGACGAAAGACACACCCTGGCGAAAAGCATTGATTTCTCGTGGCGCGTCTTTCCATTGTGTGTGGCCTCAATATTTTGGACACGGAAGGAATCAATAATTCGTCTCCAGAGCACTTTATCAACAGGGTAATTTCGATAAAATGCTGAGCATTAACGGAACTACTGTGAAGCGGGATTTTTCATTTCTTAAACTCCGCCCATTCGTAAGCCACGCCTTTTTGGGTTAAGCGAAAACTCATAATCCAATAGTGCGAATAAAACCTTGATCAAGACCTAAAATTAAGATGTAAATATGAATATAACTTCGATTACGACTCCAATTAATTTATCTTTGAATTATTCTCAGAGTTTTCTACTCTTTCCCATTACATAATTTGCCTGAATTTTTTGCCCAAAAACGCCAAAAACTAATTATGTTTCGCGTGATTGTAATGACTCAGTCCTTCTGCAGAAACTATTCTTCAAAAGCTGCGAAGAATGATTTTCCGTTGAATTTCTTCGAAGGCAAATTCGCAGCGATTTAGCATGCGATGACTGTCCAATTCCCTGGGCTCGGTCACGGCCTGATGGGTGTGTTGCTCTCTTCTAGGCGGAACCAACGATTGTGGACGCGGAGGCGTTCGACGCGTCGGAGAGCGCCCAGGCGCTGCGGGCGGCCATGAAGGGGCTCGGCACGGACGAGGACACCATCATTGGCATCCTCACGGGCTGCTCCAATCGCCAGCGCCAGCAGATCGACGCGGCCTTTGAGCGCGAGTTCAGCCGGAGTCTCGTGGAGGACCTGAAGAGCGAGCTGGGCGGGACTTTCGAGGACGTCATTCTGGCCCTGGTGCGTCCGCCGTACGAGTTCCTGTGCCGGCAGCTGAACAAGGCCATGGAGGGCATGGGGACCGACGACTCGGCGCTCGTGGAGATCCTCTGTCCGCTCACGTCGCAGGAGATGAAGGTGCTCGTGGCGCAGTACGAGGAGCTGTACGGCCGGCCACTGGCTGAGCACCTCTGCAGCGAGACTTCGGGCCACTTCAGGCGCCTCCTCACGCTCATCGTGACGGGCGTGCGCGATCCGGCCGGCACAGTGGATCCCGCCATGGCGGCCGAGCAGGCAGCCTCGCTGTACGACGCCGGCGCCGAGAAGCTGGGCACCGACGAGGAGGTCTTCAACCGCATCTTCTCGCACTGCAGCTTCGCCCAGCTGCGACTCGTCTTCGAGGAGTACAAGTCGCTGACCGGGAAGACCATCGAGCAGGCGCTGAACAGCGAGATGGACGGGGAGCTTCTGGACGGCTTCGTCGCCATTGTGGAGTGCGTCCAGAGTCCAGCGGCATTCTTCGCGCGACGCCTCCACAAGGCCATGGACGGCGCCGGCACGGACGATCCCACGCTCATCCGCATCATCGTGTGCAGGAGCGAGATCGATCTGCAGACCATCAAGGCGGAGTACGAGAGGATCTACGACAGGACTCTCCTGAACGACGTCAAGGTAAGACTTTCCATCTCTGCTTGCAGACTTCTCAGCCCTTTCATTTCCCATTTTGAGACTCTTTATCGCATTTCCAAAGCACAAGTTCGTCATTCTGCATAAAATCTAACCATTTATGATCCTCGCAATGGAAATTAGCTCACAAATGCAGAGATCACAAGAGTAACGGCATCTCTCTTAAGAATAGAAAATAACAAAAGATGCGAGAAAGACGAACTCGTTGTCTATTGAAGTGTGATTAACGTGACGACTGACCAATCGCTTGTCATGTTCTGCACCGGAAATTCCACTTGCTCATAATGTTAATTTCCATTCTATTAAATCAATGTAATTTCGCACAAAATCCACTCACTATCTTTCATGTCTGTCTTCGCAAAATATCAGCAGGTACAGCAAAGTGTGGATTTCATGCAGAAATCACGATTTAACGCTACTTTTCTTCCGCTTTCCAGGGAGAAACATCTGGCGACTACAAGAGCGCCCTTTGCGCCATCATCGGCAGTGCTTAAGCCTGGATCTCATGGCGATAATTATAGATTGTGTGCCTCGAACTCAAAGTTACTCCATATTGAGCACTATATTTTGTTAGTCGGTGTCTTTCGCTCGAATGTTATTCTCAAAAAAAAGGATGTGTCGAAGAAGTTGTAGTGCTAAATTATTCAGTGGGTTTTTGACCAAAAAAAAATTGAGTATCGCTAGTATTTTTATAGAGCTGCCAAAAATAGATTGTAAAATCGATAAATATTGTGTTTAAAATCGAAAATTCCATCAGCAGCGATTTGTTGTAAAACCACAGAAATATTCTCAGAGAAATAAATGTTGAATCTGCACGTTTAAAAGTAAATTAAATCTTTAATTACACATTTATAGTACAATTTAGCAAACATTGTTGTAAATTAATATGTACATCAAGTTGGAATTGGTAATTTTTTTTTTTATTTTTGACATTGATATCAAAGCAAGATATTTGAGTGTTTCACTCTATCCATCAAATATCATTCTGCTGCGAATGCGTAACATTAGACGCTCAAAATTGTCACATTTCATGTATTTTTGCTATTTAATATATATTTTTTTTCATTCTTCTTGAATATCAAATGACGCCAAAGTTGTCTCATAAAAAATCTTTTTCACATCGATTAATTGTTTATCATTTTTTTTGTTTTAATTTTATACTTCAAACATGAATTATTTTTTTCATATTCTCATCTCCTCTCCGCTTCGCATTACAAAATTAGGATTCTTCTTCTATTCTTCCTTTCACACTTATTTCCGGTTAATACTTTTTTTTTGTTTCTATCATAATCCTTGTCATGCTTTGAGTGCGAAAATTGAGTGTGTGTTTTTTTTTGTGTGGGAGGGAAATTTGCAGCTGAGGATTATTCAGGGTGTGTGAAGAAGAGGTTCATTTCTTGTTCATCTAGCAATTAATTTTTCAAGTCAACAACGATTAAAATATACAAAGACTACATAAATTGGACGCAATTCTAGGCCTGGAGCGTTCATTTATCTTTTTTTTCTTTTCTTTTTCATCATACAAAATGTGCTGTGCTAAGAACGCAAATTGATGACACTACAGAACAGGTTTTAAGGATTTGTCATCAATTCACTTGAGGATTACACAGTAAATCGTGGGGGTTTGTCTCTCCTTTTGCTTTCTACCGCGGAAGGGGTGTGAAATTGAAGGCATTGGTGCGTTATATTCTCGTATTTTTCATCTTTTATATGACGGTGTAAAAAGAGGTGAACATTTCCATTTTTTTTTTCTTCCTTCATCCTTTCTACCAAGTGCTTTATCAACATTGTACAAATATCCTTTATGACATGCTCAAATATGCATAGTTTTTCCTATTAATATTGATTTACTATTGACAAAAATACCTAAATAAAAATCGCTTTTCATTCCCGGAATTACAAATTGTAAAAAGTGCACGCTACACTTGCTAAAAATCATTGCGTTCTTCTCTAAATGGCAACTTGATGGCACATCATTTTCGTCAATCGGCATTTTATCGTCTTTATCCTATTCTGAGAGGATCACAAAATACAGGTCAGTGCAAGAAACTGTAACGCATTGTCTGAATGTGAGAAGTAAATTATAAAAGGGGGAAAGTGTGCAATGTCGTTCTTTAGCGGTGTTACAAATGCTTCGCGTACAAAAAAAAAACGACTTTGATTCATCCAAATCGTGTAACATTATTGATTAGTTACATTGAAATATCAATACTTAATGCTTTTCATCCATAATTCTCATCTTATCTTTAGTTATTGAGAGCGAATTGATTATAGATATACGTCTATTCATCTCTTCATTATTCTTGTGGTTTTTTTTAATCCTTTTCCTTTATGAAACATCGAGAAACAACTATTGGTATTCATTCCATTTTATCATCTAGTCTAGTTTATCCATCACACAATGTCCATAATAAAAATACAGATTATTCTCATCTTCTCTCTCTCTCTTTATATGCTTTGTAATATTAACTAGTCATTAAACACTTAGGAAGTGTGTAATAGATTTTTTTTTCATAAATTCTCAGAGATAAACAAAATAAAAGGGAAATAAAAACAAACTAAAAACTGAGAAACAGCACGCGTTATAAGAAATCACAATGAAATTATTATTTAAAAAAAAATTAGAGATAGATTTTACAAAGTATAAATTCTGTGAAGAGTCACTGGAAATGATTATTTACTGCATATTCTTGTTTACTATTTCTTTTTTTTCGTCTGTGCGCTTTCTTCGTACATTTATTGAACATTTACTAATTCTATTCTTTATATTTAGTAAATATATTTCTTGTCGCTTGTCTTCTTGTTTTCTTTTTTTTTTTGGAAAAAATCCATGGTAAAATTGTAAAAAAATTTCTACACTCTTGAAATCTATCAACAAAAGGGAAGTAAAAAATATGGCGAATTCATTTTATCTATACAAATAATATTCCTCTCTCGTCCTTCTTTTTCTCACTGCAACTAATTCTTGTATCTCACTCTAAAAAGAATTGTATATCATGTTACAAATTCTATATTTTCAATTCACTAGTGATAAAATTTCATATCCTTTTGGCTAATTCAAAAATAAATTAGACTCTTTTAAAATATATAGACTTTCATATACTCTCTCTCTCTCTCTTCACGTTCATCTTGAAAAATTGAGTTGTGTGCCTAACTAAATGCTTTGCCTTGTTTCATTTTCTTTTTGTCCTTTGAATTCTAAGCAGATAGCAAATTTTTGCTTGATTTGTTTACTCCATTCATCTCCTTAATATTCTCTATTCAATATATCATTACTTTTTCTTTTCTCATTAATAATATATGTATGTATCCATTTTTTTTCACCACCTTCACATCCCAATTATAACTTTCACCTCGCTTTTTCTTTATTACATAATTGAAAAATTGGAAGAGCCAGTTTCTTTTCTCTCAACTTGCAAGTTACACATTTAAAAACTCTATCAATATTGACTGTATACACACTATAATTGGTATTTACTTCTTGCCAACACGCTCCACAAATTCTCTCCACATGAGATTCACGCGTGATTAATTGAATATCATTCTTAGTTATTAATTTGGAGTATTTTTAAGGAATTCTAAATCTGTTTTCTTGTTCATCATAGCCATTGATTAGGAGGAGAGTGCATAGGTATTCACATTTTGGGGGAACATTGATTCATATGTCAACATCCACCGAAGAGAGACAAAGAAGTCTCCAAAAGGATCCCCTAAATAATAACGAATCCACACGTTGCAGTGCTAAAAACTATGGCAAAACCAGCTTTTATCGATGTTCTCCTATCCGATAATTAAAGCTTCATTTTTGACTTTCACAACAATATCTGAGAAATCAACCTACAAAGCATATTCGTCCTCTTTGTCTCAATTCGTACACGCACATTTAATTAGTACTTCTTATTACCTATTCTCAGAAAAAAAAAACACTAACTGAAGAACCCAAATATGTCACCATAAATTAGATATAAAAAAAAATTGTATAGAAACAATCACTTAAAATACACTGGAATAATTATATATGCTTCTCATGAGTTTCATGCGTTTCATGCCTAACAACGATGAGTGACGCCAATTTCGATGAGAGATGATTATGATGCATTCTCCTCATTTCACACCATCACAAAAGCCTCTTTGCCACAAAAGAGGAACGGATATTGATCTATCATCGTCTGCACAATGTCCTCCAAGTACGGCCTCAGTTGCTCAAAGTGTCCCATATCGGTGAATTCAATCGGAATGAGTGTCGGCCACCAGCAAATGGCCAAGTTCTTGCTGTCCATGCTGTTCAATTTTGCATTCTCCGACACCCTGAGAGGCAAATGCCATCAATGAATATCTCTCTCACTCTATTCCATTCAACAATTGACATATTCAGAGACAACTTACCTGACAAAGTGCTGGAAAATATACTTCAATATGGTGAAATTAATCGATGGCATCTTGTTCAGCAGTCCCCGGAGTGCCAACAGACGACAACTGCGGTCAGTCTTGACCTCCATGCTCAGCGTATTCGAAGCCATTCCACGAGAACCTGCAAAGAAGTGCAATGCAAATTGCATTAGATGACATTTAGTATAAATTAATGAAGTTTCCTAAAGACGTTTTTCCCCTCAATTGAGCAAATAACCTTCCACTCCTGGGACAATTTAATGAAGTAGATAATTCAATTATGTGAATTAAATTAACTCTCAACCGTGAAAGTTAGCAATTTTCTTTGCAGAACAAACCTCAGAAGAGAAGAAAGACTTGCGTGGTTTTTTTTTCTTTAGCAAATCATTGAAAATTCATATCGTTTGTTGAATAATTAGTTTTCCTCACTTGATATTGCGCATTGCATTGAGATTTACGTAAAATTATATTGTCAGTATTTCTAACAATAACCTGCAAACTTAAGAGCCTGATTAATCTCACACTGTTCCATTACTCTAATCAATAGATTTATAGCACCCAGAGTTCAGTGAGCCACAACTTAATTAGTGTTTACTAACCGGCAATATCTTCCAATTCAGTCATTAAATCCTCATCAAAGAGCGGCGGTAAGTGCTTGGAGAAGAAGTCCTTTAGTGCAGTGGCCACGGCATTAACGGGAATATCCAGAGCGTCAATATCCACAGTCGCCTCTGCAGAAGAAGATTGTAAGTCAGTGGCGGGCATTCGCAAGACCGAGTGATTGATTTACTTACCTTCTTCAAACTTCTGATACAGCATGTCAACGTGGGCACGATTGCCAGGAACACGATAAATACCTTCAGAGTCGAGACCTTCTTGTTCAATAAATTGGACACATTTCTCGAGGAAGAGCGGAATAAAGTTCTTATCAGACTGAATAAAGTCGGGCAATGTTGGGGCATCACCACCACTTGCACTCCCAACCTTTCCCTTTGACTTTCGCTTATTCCGCTTCTCCTGCTCCTTCTCCTTGTCCAGCATCTTCCTCAATTTGGCCGCATCCTCCTTGGCACGTCGCTTCTCCATCTTCTCCTCCTCCTTCGACAACTTCTGCTTCTCACGCTTGTGATCAATCAACTTCTCGCGGTCGCCCTCCTTCACCACCTTGGGCACCACACCGAAAATCGGCGAATTATTGTCACGCGGCGACGACACGTCGAGACTGGATTCCTCCTCGGCGTGCTTCTCCACCATGCCCGGCAGCAGCTTCTTCGCCTGCTCGCCCGCCTTCATTCTTTGGTACAACAGCGGAATCTCCGGCGGGCTCACGTACGTGCCGAACGGCACCTTTGGCGGCTGCACCGGAATGGCCGTCCTCTTCTTGCGGACCCTCTTGTGCGTCTGGGCCTTGCGATTCATCTTGTAGTACCCATCGAAGCCCCTGTTGTTCTTCCTCTCCAGCGAACTCGACTCCGAATCCGTGTCTGAATACTCTGAAACATTATATTGAAAAGCATTGAAAATTTTCCTCCGCACACACAAACACGCGAAAACCCATCAATGCCACACTGTTGCCGAATTATCTCTCCAAAATTATGTACAGCGAACCAAATAAAATCCCACCCCGCTAAACGAACAGATACTATAGAGATGCTCCGCTGAGATTATCGGTGAATAATGTGCCTAAATAAGAAGGGTGTGGCATATTGAGTCACCATCGGGGAAGCTCTTAAACTTTCCCCACTGAAAAAAAAACGCCCATAAAAGCCGACTTACAGTATAACTTTTTTTCTTCTTCCACCGTTCCAGTTTATGTGTGGCAAAAGCAAACACAATAGAGTGAATTGATTTCCGTATTTCTTCCTAATCGACCATCAAATCGACAATAATCCAAGAGGAGATATTTTCGGAAATATTTCCTCTCTCTCTCTTTCACTCTCCAAAAACCACTCTGCTCGCGTCGCAGTATTTACGATTATTACATGCACTTCTAGTGAATGGTTTTCCTCCGTGGGATCTCATCTCAAACACCCATGTACTCACTCTGTTGCTCCTTCTCACGTCGATGGCGCAATTTGGACTTATTGGGCGTCGTATCGAGTGCATAATTGTACATTTGCTGATCATCGACACTGCCACCGCCACCGACTGGATAAACCTCCTTCACCTGACTGTATCCCGCCTCCGCCAGATCGTCTGAGTCCTCCTCAGGAGCTGCCAAAGGGGCATGATCGAATATTGAGCCTCTGGCTTTCAATTCCCGCTCCCAACCGCATTTCCTACCGTCAATGCCTCCGTCACTGTTCACATTCATACGCGCTATCGCGTCGTTCACGATGGCAAAGTTCTTGAGATTCAGCTTCCCCGGTTGCTGATGGTGTTAGAGAAGCGTAAAGAGAAGAAGCATGTCAGTCACTGAGATTCGCCCATTGGCACGCATCAGATCTGTACTTAATTCTCTACCTTTAGTGTCTGACTCGGTCCTTTCGGTCGCACTTTATTGCCAAACGTTGATGACTCATTTTGCCGCCTGCCCGTGGTAAAAGCATGATGCGCACCGAAGTTGTTCCACAGGACACTCCTCTTGCTACCACTTCCGTCACGCTTGTCCCCATCACGACCAATAAACAGAGCATCGTCCAGCCAACCTGCAAAGTGAGTCGCACGGAGAGAGAGAAAAACCACAGCCAAATCAGTCTCGGATATTCAGGAAATTTTCATGCATAATTCACCATTTCATTCTCCTCTCATAAATGGACATAAAGTGAATACTTTCTATGCCGCAAATGTCCACGCGATTGTATGATTTATTAATGCTGCCAAAAGCTGTCAATTTTAATACTGACCTTTGCGTGTTTGTTCGAAATAATGATGCAAAATTGACTTTATCTTAGCGTATAAATATCAAAATTCACACCATATATTTTCATCGAAATTTAAAGTTTACAACTATTGAACGACTTTAAATCAACAGTGCGATTATGAAATCATAATTGCATTAATATTTATTAGATATAATCGAAATTAATTCCAATCTGTTACTTCGTTTTCCCATAAAGCTGATGCTCAATTATAGAGGATATTTTATTTGCATTCAATTAACCCATTTGCATAATTAATGGGTCAAAAATGAGATATGCTTATAAAGAACCACTGGAAAATCGATGAATTTCATCGTATTTCGCATTGAAAGTATTCACTTATTGGCTATAAAATACAGTGAAATTATAGTAAAAACCTGAATCATGAGTTGTGAGGGAATCTTTCGATCCACTCACGTCGGCTGCATGAAAGAAAATAGTTCAGTGCATTAGGAGAAAAAGACAAACAACCAGAGAGTGAAGCAATTTTACATGTTATCTCATCGAGACTCGACTGAGATGCCGACACGAGGTTTCCCTTGAGTTGTCGCATGAGCGCCGTTGGGCCCATGTGAAGATCCGGGGGCGCAGGCTCCGGGGGTGTTGTTGGCGGCGGATAAATTTGGAAACCTTTTTCAACCAACAATGCACCAAATTCACAAAGAGTGCCAGGAAAGCATCACACTCACCTTGATGTATCAAGCGACTCTTCTCATCCTTATCGTCATCGTTCATGTACGTATCGTCAATTCCCATATCCTTCTCGCCCAGCATGTAGAGATGGGGATACTTCTCGCTGTTGTCGTTGAGATTGAGCTTAATGTTGTCATCCGGGCCATTTAGCGAGTTGAGAGATCTTGTCGGCAGATGTTCGTAATTCTCACTTCCCGACCCATCGTGGTTATTCTTCAGCATGTAGCTCTCATGTCGCGGCGGTGGCTGTGGCAAATGATGATGCATCGAGTGCTCGAGTGTACCTTCGCCCGAATCCAGCGTCACGGGCTCCTCCATGTGGAAAGCCTGCTCAATTTCGGGCTTCTTGTCCCACACTTCCTTGAGGAAGGGCGTGTAGAAGGCGACTGCAAGGAAAATTGAGGCTTTAGAGCGCAATTAGAGAGTCTAATTCGCATACCCACACTTACTCTTCAGCTGATTCCCCGTGGCTGATGTCATGAAGTGCGCTCGCAGGCGATCAGCAATGGCATTTCCCTCAGTCATCAGCATCTGGCACATTTCGTTGTTGAAGAAGGCCGATGCGCTCCCACCCTCTGACGTAATGGCCATTATTTGCATGGGCAAATTCGGAATATTCATGGAGAATGCATTAAGCGTGGAGAGCGATGCCTTCCTCTTCGTGGAATACAGCAATATGAAGCCATGCACCAACTCATCACGGAATGCATTCGCTCCATGATACGATGACACTATTATTTCAATTCGCCTCTTCGTGTCTCCGAGGAATGTCTCCAGTATGAGGCTCCGCTCACTCGACAGCGTACACGATGCATCAGTGATGATGGAGCTGAGGACACTCTCCACAGAGAACGGATCACCGCAGAACATGCACAGGATTATCCTAATGTCTGGACTCATGTTGTACGGATCATCGGACTTGGGATCCAATGACTTGAGACACTCTATCAAGTGGTTGATTATGTCATAGATGTAATTCTGATGCTGACTCTGTCGGTGATGATAGAAATTCAGTGACGTGTCAATGAAGAGACCATGAAGCAGATCAGCCAATTGATGTCCTTCACTGCGTAACAACTCAATTTCCGCCTCCTCCAGCTTCGAATCTTCCGGCTGATACACTAGGACGAGTGGCAAATTCTCAAATTTATCCTCCAACTCGAGATTGCAGAGCAAACTCTTCTCCAGACTCTCCTTCAAGTACTCAAAGGACATCTGATTGGAGTACACACACACGAGGCCACTCGACTGGAAGTCTATTGACTTGAAACTCTCCATATTGCCATCGATTATCTTTGTCTGCAGGAAATGAGTCTGGCCATCATAGATGTATTCACCCTCGTCACCGCAATTCAGGCAAATCTCATTGATTAAGTCACCGGCCAGGTGTTCAGATCCCAGAATCAGGAGATTCAAATTCATGTCCTCACTCTTCGGCGGCTGTTTCCACTGTCCCCGCCGCGGCAGACTCTGTTGCGCCTTCTTCGCCGTGATAATCCGCTCAATGAGTGCATCCATACAGTTGGGAAACGCCGGACAGTGCTCCCTAATTGGACAGTGCACAAAGCCCAAGTGCTGGAACAGCATCAGCTTCCTATCCTGATCCAATCTGTCCAGCATCTTGTACCTTATGTCCTCCTGCAGCACATCCGTGATCTCCTTGATGTCATCCTGCGTGATCGTACCAGACGGATCGATGCTCTTGAAGTGATAGAACAAATCAGCGTGCTCGAGCAGCAACTCCTGAAAGTTGTGCTTTGCCTTCTCTATTATTTCACGCTGATGATTGTCATAAATCTGCTGACAATCGTGCTCTGAGAGTGCCTCAAAACACTCACGACCCATAAACAGGACACGCACTTCAGACAATTGCTTCCCCGGAGTCACATATCCTGTCTCCTCGAGGAGTTTCTTGAACTGCTTCTTCCATCTGCAAAACAAAAGACGCACACACACACAAAACAATACATCTTTAGCTCTGATTGTATGACAAAAGCATTTTCTCAGTAACTTAATTACCTCTTTGGCATCCTTCTCATCAACAAGATTAATATTGTCAGGCGTTAGCGGAAAGTGGTTGAGAGATTAAAATTTAATATTAGTATGTTATTCCATCAAAACGCTGCCAATAAATTCTAAAGGACATTAGTATACGACTACTGTTGGGAAATTGAGAATTATTTTTGCCAAAAAACATACTCCATCATAATTAGTTGAATATTCCATGTTCAGTTTCACAAATACAATAATGTGTTTGTTGTGGTTTCGCATTTCCCCAAATTAATATTGTTTTATAGACATAAAGCTCTGCACTTTAATCTCTATTGTAATTCAATTATGTTGATAAACAATTACTTTAATGAATTTTTCACTAATTCATATTGCAACACTGTGTTTTATTCATGAATTTGCTTAAAAAAAATCTTAGAGTTTTCAATATAGACTTGAGATGGTGGTATAAAAGACAGGAAATATTAAATTTCTGCAATAAAATCACGGTCTGAAGTGCGTTTTTCAAACAAACATAAATCAATCCGTTATTATGCAACTCAAGAGTTTTCTTTGTAATTGGCACAAACTCTTAACTTCTTTCCCTGCACATCTTTCGAGTGCATGGGAAGGAATTTAAGTTACATCATCATGTTTTTCTTGCAAATTAGTGCCTAAATTCATCTCACTTCAGCTAAAATTTGATGCATGCAAAATTATTGCAATGCTGCCTTTAGAGAACCGCCCAAATTCACGTTAGGTCAATCTTCAGCATCAAGACACAGGAAATTGGCAAGCGACCAAGTTTCAAATTGAACACCCACTAGCACAGGGGCTGCGAAACCTCCCTCTGACCCATCACCATGTCAGGGCTTTGCAATAATTGTCTTAGATTTCATACACCCTGGGCACAAGACAATCCAGACAACCGCCAACTTTTTCCTCCACGCCATTTCCCTGATGTACAACAAAGAGTCTTTGACCTTATAAAACAATTTAATATCACCCGAATAGCAAAAAGTTGCAGAGAAAAAGAGAGGCGGTCATTGATTTTTCCCCACGCCCAAAATACAGCATTTGCATAATCACATAAGCAGATAATTAGCATTAATGAATTGGCATTAAGCAATAGCGCATTTACAATTGAAACTCTGTGTATACTCACTCTAGCCTCTTCTGCTCCTGCTGCAGAGCGTTCACGTGATTCTTGAACACTGTCTCCGCCTCTGGCGTGTCCAAAACATCAAAAGGGATCCGGGACTCCTCCTCCGTGTCGCTCACATCGCTGAGGTCTGTCCATGGCGCTTGGTGGCACTCGAAGAAGTACTGGTCGAAGTCAATGTGCGTTTTCAAGTAGTTCTGCACCAGAGTCCAGTCATCGCTAACATCCATGCTCAGGGAGTTCATGTCGGGAATGAGATCTTGCAGGGCGCACGAGAAGTTCTCCATGTACTGATGGAGGCGCTTGGTCACATTCTCCTCCCTCAGCTTCTTGATGTGTCGCCTGAAGATGCGCTGACCAGCCTCCTGGCCGAACAGTTCGATAAAGTCCTGCCACTCCTTGTGCACCGACAGCGCCTTCGATCCCTGCGACCACAGCGTGTGATAATCCGCAATTTGCGTCCTAATCAATCGTGTCACGGCTTCCGTGCTGGTGTCCAGGAGCTCCTTGCGCATCCGCGCCGCCTCTTGGTACGTGATAATCTTCGTCCTCTGCTTGGTCTTGTCGATCATCTGCGCCAGAGCGATGAACGCGATGTCAATGTTGATGCCCTCGTGCGAGGACGTCTCCACCAACAACACGCTGCCCTTGTACTCCTTCCGCTGGCATATCTTCTCAGCCTCTCGCACGTACAATTCATTCGCCTCGTCGTTCTTCGTCGTCACCAGAAGCACTGGCTTCTTCGTCTTGAGCAAATTGTTGATGAGTGTACACACAAAATCCACCTGCTTCTCCACACTCCTGTTCGGCACGGCGCTCACGTCGAACACGCACAGAAAGCCATCGATATTGAGTCGTCCATCTGGCAGTATCTTCTGCTCGTACTCCTTCTCAATACCCAATTGATTCTTGCAAATGTACATCATCTTCTCCGCCGAAGCCACCCTCGTGGCGACGCAGCGCTTCATGTACGTCTCCATTTTGCCCACCTTGAATGGCTGGAATGTGGCGTCATCCATAAACTCCGTCTGCTCAATGAGATGAAAGACATAGTCCACCCCCTCATCCGATGTCTTCTTCACGTCACCCCAATAGAGAAAATGATCATTGTTGACAACGCGTCCAGAAAAGTCAGACTGAAAGGAGAGAAGAAAACACACCAGTCGAAGAGACACGCTGTGAGAAATGTACTCAAATTATATATGATGTTCACGTATCATGAATATTTAATCTCATTTGCATTGGAGAGAAAGAGCAATGTGAAAAAATAACCCATCCGATTGAATCATTTTCACTGCGCATTATAATTTTATTACCGTGAGCTTTCCATCGCACACAAAAAAAGACCTCCACTGATATTGCTGACAAGCGACAAATGTAGAGCGCGTACGAATTTGCCGAAAGAACCGGAGAAGTCAATGGACAAGTTCATCACATGATTCACTCGACATGCAACCAATTTCGCATTAACCCTCATTTTCCATAGAGGAAAAAAAATTAAATGGAGTCATTTTCAGGGATAATTGAGAGATAAAATTGCTGACCGCAAACTTTTTTACCTTTCACCATTTTATGTCTAAACCATTTTTTCCTTCACAACTCTTTTTTCCATGTTAATTTACATCCAACTTTGATTGCCATTTGCTCTCGCAACAGAGAAAAAGCATAGAGCATAAAGAATCGTGTATCCACTTCGGCAGGGAAATATTCTCCCCTTTGTCCCATTACCCTTTGTATAATTCCCTTTCTCTCTCTCTCCCTCTGGCTTCCCTATTCTGTCACCATGTGAACAACTTATTAGATGAGATTCAATGACCATGTATGCGAAGCAATCAAAAATTTTATAGACAGCAACACACGAAACAGGGGAAGGTTTTCCCTTTTTCCACCTTTCTTCGCAATACAACCACGAGCAAATTTAGCCTTGTGCCACTTGAAAGTTGTGTCTTTCACTAAATTTCAACCCCCGTCCTTGACATAGAATACACGTTCAATTTCAATGGCAACGCGCTCACTTGTTCATCGATACACCATCATATCCGGTGCACTCTCACCACCACCCAATTAATTACAGCGTGACTGTGGCACTAATTGGCGGCGCCCGAGGAAAGCTCGCCAAATTGAAATTTTTCCTCAACTGCCCAGAGAACCATGCAAAATAGATGCAATTCTCCGAAGCGCCAACACAAATTCCTCAGCATCAAATCCACGAGCGAAAAAATCCCAGACTTTTGTATTTGAGACATTCAAGAGTTAAATTACTGTAGATTCGAGATAAATTGCACAACACATGAATATTTATCTAAACTCCCTGGAGCACCTAAAACACAGCCCAGCAATGCTCAGCTTTGGAATTGAATGGCTCATTCTTATCATCATCTCTCATCCTGCGACTTCTCAGCTCTGCCAAAGGTGGCTTTGACTCATCGGACGCTGGAACATGTCTTCTCACCTGACTTAATACTGATATGTGATCGATGAAGTAATCGTCAGTTAGTGGCCGCACGAAGCGATTGCACAGGCACGACTTGCCCACGCCGATCTGGCCGCGCTCCTTCTCCGTGCCGGACATCCCGACCACGGCGATGTTGATCTGCTTCATCCTCGCGCTGGTCTTCTCAGCGGCCCTCGAACGCTCACTCTCCACACGTCACTCTCCCTGGGAACCGGGAATGCCTCACAACCGACCGAGAGCTCTGTCTATCGTGCGAACCTGCGGGGAGAGAGGCGGAAACTCAGATGCACTTCTTATCTCGCCGCGCTGGAGTGCGTGGGCGGGCGTGCCTTCTCGCTCGGGTGTCCGCGGGACTCGCGGCCGGGCCATTTTTCGGCCGAGTGGAACATTTTCTGCACATTTGCAGCCCGCCGCACCCCCACATTTGCGGACGGCAGCCATATTCCATATTGTCTACAAGACCACCCTCAATCGTCTCTGCGTGTGTGTTCGTTCGAGCCCTGTTGCGGCGCCAGCGGCTCGCTGGCGGGGCGTTTTTCGCACATAGGCACCCTCCGAGCAGTGACTCAGGATTTTGGGGAAGGAATGTGGGAATGAGGAGGTGAAATTTGCCTCCCCGGAAGATTACAGGCGCGCACACACTCCAAGTGAGAGAGCTGTGTATTTTTCACCCCCTGCAAAGGGCACGTCCCGCCGTCCAGAGCCTTTCACGCCCAATCCCCAGCCAAACAAGCGCACATTTCTCCCCCCAGAGAGCCCCACGACCCAGAACAGCCCCCGCGATGCACAAATTCGCGGAAAAACGAGCGAGAAGACACCTGTGAAACCAGGTAAGTGCGATCGTGATTTTTTCTTTGTACTCACACTCACACCACTCGTGAGTTCACTTTGCACGTCATTTTATCACACTTGCACTACAGACTAAAGAATTTCTTTACACGTGAGCACTTGTCGGGCTCTTGAGGTGCACTTTCACGCAATTTCTGAGGCAATTACACATGATTAGCACGTATTTTGCCGCGACAGACACTGAAATCGCTACAGAAACTTCTCACGCCGAAACGCCATCTTGATTTTTGACGTTTCCCCAGCTCCGTCCCTCTGGTGAGCGATAGGGTAAAGTTGAGGTTGAGGCGCTTGCAGTGCCTCTTGCGGAATTCCCGAGAAGACGGCATTCGCGCCAAACTGTTGTGAGCTTGGAGAGCTTTCGTCGGCTTGGCAGTGTGGAAAATGCAGAATCCTGGGGAAATGCGCTTAGCGGGGAGGCTTCACCCTCACTCGTGTCACCCCCACTGCACTGGGCGGAGTTCTCTACACAGCTCAGCCTCCGTGGGGCAGCTCCCCGTGAGGGAAACCCCCAATTTTGGGGGTGTTGCCACGCGCAGCTCCATTAATCGCCCCCCAGGAAAGCCCCAGAGAATCCCATTGGCAGACGCGGTCTGTTCCACACGTCCGGGCACTGGGGCCAAAGTGATGTGCGACGATGCCAGCGATGTTGGAAAGTGTGTCGGTGGGAAAATTCGCAAAATTTGATGCGAAATTGAATAAAAGGGCGTCTGCGGAACCCCTCGGAAGCCCTGTTTTGGGGAAGTTGGAGGGTGACTTTGGAGGTCATGGTTCTCTTTGCAAAAGTGGGACATGAAATTTTAATTGATGCTCAGACACGACACACAGTTTCCCCGTGTGATTTCTTTTCCCAACAACTTTTCCAAGAGTTGGGGTTTGAGGCACAGAGCGCCCCTTAACTTTGCTGTAATTTTCCAGCCGCCGCCCCACAAGGAAACTTGTGACCTAGAAAGTGGCCCCGAAGAAAATTCATGGTATGGAAAATTGTCTTCAAGTTCAAAGACCCCTTTTCGGGGGATGAAACGCAACTTCCAATCCCCGAATCTTCGATGCCACACATGAGAATTCCCGCATTCCACATTCGGAGTCATTTAATTAATTTTATATCATGTGACAAGGTCTCTTCGCTGGAAAAGTGAAAATCACACCCATGCGATGGGGCGCGCGCCCCCGCATTCTCAATATTTGCCACCGAAAATGCGTATCTCATTAACCGAATATTTGCAGTTCGCATGAAGATGGATTTGGTGCGGGACTGGCGGAGGAAAAGTCGCCCGGGAGGAAGATGAGTGGCAGATTTATAGGAAGAAATTACACACACGGCACTTCAAACAGTCGCAAGAACTCCCCTAGTTACGGGGTATTTAGAGTTTGAAGGGGGAAGTGTGGCACAATTTATAATTTGACTCTCATAATTGCACCTTTGCAGTGAGAAATCAACCCTTCTTTGGCGCGCTTTCCGCTGGAAAGCATGCTTTATCTCACGTAGTTCAGCAAGGGACAGACTGTGCGTGAAATTGCAATAATCTTGTAAATATCAGTTATACTGACAAAAGGTACTGATGGATCGGAATTAGAGATACAAAATGTGTCTCGCCGGACTGTGCCTGCAGACTTTGCGCCCTAAAAACATGGAATCTTTCTCGAAATGTCTCAAGAAACTCACCCAAAAGGAATGCATATGGTACAGTGGCAATTAAAATAACATTTGCCACTACATCGCACACACTTTCGAGTAAAGGCTAGTGCGGTTTCACCCTCGACGAAAGAAAGGACGCATCTTGAAGCAGGTGACGATGTTGGGGTGAAAAGTGCCATACTTTCCAAAAGAGATTTTCTTTCGGCGCGGAACAAATTCAGTGGCAAAATTCATAAATAATCCCGTACAGAGCAAGTGCGAGTATGCAAATTTCTGGGTAAAAGCACTCGCCTAAGTACAATTTATACATTCATCAGCCACTCCACATACGCCATACTTTTCAATATCGTATTAACATTTTCCTTCGCGCCGCAACTGCGTCTTAGCGCACGAGAAGTCATAACAAATCCCCATTTTCTTTTATACGCCGCACATACTTTCTCACATCTTTTCCCCATCGCCGAATTTATGTGCTCAACTCCATTGTTTATCCATTTGGCGCTGATGCGAGTTCTCCGCCAACGGGACACCCACATCATCGTCAGAGGCCCCACTCCAGGAGGCTGAGGCCTAATGGAAATGAGAATGTCTCGAGCACAAATGTCGATTTGCGCGAGGGGCTGATTTCCGTGGGTGTGAATTTAGTGCGATCGCGAACTCGAGGAGTCTCCCCATACCACCCTCGGTAAGTCATTCAAATTGAGAGGTACACATATGCCAAATGACACGGAGCTAAGTGAAATGCAAAATAAATATCTGCAAATGTCGTAAAAATGGCAAAGTAATATGCAAATTAAGTAGAGAACAATGTGACGCATTACATAAACTTTTCATCTTATGTCTTCACACCCTCGCACGTGTGGAAAGATTTTGGTTCGTTCGCTGAAATTGCCGCGCCACTTAAGTGATTTTCAGCAAACGCCCTTCAATATCTCGACCATTGTCAGGGCAATACCCACAGAACACTTCCTCACGACTTACCCCAAAGAAAGGAGTCTTTTTTCTCTCGCAAATCCGTACAAATACTGCACGCAATTTCTAGCATTTCTCCCAAGTGGTCTCTTCATAAAGGCAGTCATTCGAGGGACAACATTTATATGGAGCAAATATTTGTGTCATCCCCTTTTGTGGGTTTCTTTTATGTCCGCAGAGTGAAAAGGAATTTGCTGAATTTTTCTCACAGAATTTTCTATCAGAACAAAATGCATAAAATGGTCTCTTGAAAATTTCCCACGCATGATTTTGATCCATGCACTACTTTGCTGAGAATCCTCTGGAATTTTCTTTTGGGTTTCCTCCCTAGACGTGTGAAGAAAATGCGAAGATACACAAAAGCTGTATGCAAATACCATTCATATTCTCGAGCAATCCTTTTCGCATTACGTATTCATGGGACGTCCAGTTGCCTTATTCAATCAAACATGTGTTTGACTGAAGCTCCAATAGATCTCCATAAATTTGATCTATCGCCTTCGTCCGAAAACCTCCCCACACACGCGGCCTCTCCTTATGGACATGAGTGGAATGCACATTTCCAAATGAGGGGCAATTTATGGATTTCGACCGTGCCTGGGCAAAAAGTTCCAATTCGCCGCGATGAAGGACAGCACGTTCGTGCTCTCTCGAGAGTATCCTTTTCAAATTGAATATCAAAATATCACAAATTGATTTTGGGACACCTTCTCCCCGTGGGCCTCAACATCAATTTGCAAACCATTTGAATGATTTATTGAGACAATCATCTTCAGTGTTCTTTTCCATGTCGCCTTTGGCCTTCACCGTGACAGAGACAAATCCTCAGACTTTCTTCTCTCCCCCATTTGGGGCCACAATTATGCAATTTGTCCTCCTCCGCAGATGAGGGCACTTTTCTCCGATGCGAAGTAATTCAATAGTCTCAGCTCTTAACCCTTCCACTGCGGCCGAGTCCTGAGGACTCTGACTCTGACAAATGACATTATGAATGACACTCGCTGTTGGAGATGGTCCTCGATTAGTGGAGAACAAAGGTGTGTTCATTACTCGAGATGATGGCATTTTCGGTGAAGACGTAAATGCAGTGCCTCCATAAATGCCAGACATAACACCCAAATTTAAGTGCTTAATTCACTGAAATTTGTCACTTCTTCCTCTCCTCGGGATTTCTTTGCTGGGCGCACACACTCAAAGGGGATGCTGAAGGGGCTGCTTTTCATACTTCGGCCGTTGATCCATCACGAAGTCCCATCGCTGCTAATGGCCTATTGAGAAAATCTATTTGATTAAAGTGTCCTAATAACATTTCGGTAAAATCCTGTCCCTGGCTCTATAATTGGAGGCAATATGAAATCGAAAAAAACGACATAATCTACCCTAGAGTAATTCCTAAGCGAACGGAGAGGGGATAATCTCGAGGGTGGGTTTTGCCATTGAGGAAGGAGGAAGTTGTGACTACGACGCCGACATCCTCAGCCACCGCCACATCTTGATTAGCTATGCAAAATTCACCATTCATATTCAAAATTTTATATCCAAGTTTCAGCCCTAATTTATTCAGACGTCGCATAGATTCTCGTATTTTCGTGGCGTTCAAATTAGGTAATTTCGGACGAATGTTGCGGGCTTCAGATATTTTCTTGCACGCTGCCGGGAGAGCCACATAAAATCAATATTTGCGTGCAAAAGACATTGCGAAGGAGTGGGAAATCATGTTGGGGATGCATGAATTGGAGTCTTATTTTCTGTGACAGCAATTGCCACAGTAGTGGCGAATATTGAGGGGTCGCCCATGCTAAGAAACTTCCAACTATTCCCTAATTAAATTTGGCAACGGGAATACCAGGCCTCATTGTACCTAATGTGGCCTGAGCAGCGAATTCGAGGCGAAGCCGCACTATCGGGGTTGGATATGAAGATTCACGGGTGAAAACCTTTCGTTATATGCAATTTAAGCCATTCAAAATCCTCCGTAAACCACATCCACCTCATGCAACCCATGCGAGTTATTAGAGAGACGCTAAGTAGCAGAAATTCTCACTACTCACAACCCCCTTAGTAGTGCCGGGGCTTTTATTTCGCCACCCCCCGACCATTTATAGGCAAACAGCATGAGCACAAATTTTGCACAAGAACACACTTGCTCTTTTCGCCCCTGGAATTGTGTAGAGCGGAGAAATTATACACATTCTGAGGCGACAATACAATGACAGTCACTGCCTAATTCCCTAGCACCTCGATTTACCGAGAGTCGTTTATTTGTGCGGTTCATCCCGGCCACCCCACGAGCTTCCTCCTAGTCAACTATAAATCTCGAGCTCTAGCGAGCATGCAGTTGAGATTTGTGCCCTCTTAAAGGTTGAATTGATGACACTCAAGTTACTCCACTCCAAAGTGGCCCCAGCTCGCACACGAACATATGTCGGAACCCACGGAAGAGAGATCGCCGGCGCCACTCTAAAGTGCTGCAGCACAGCTTCAACACCCACATTATCCCTTGCAGCACTTTCGCACTGCACGCGCGATGTGGGTTTTGCGGCAAAAAGCGCAAGGGAGGAAGTTTAAAAATCCGTTTCGTTAATTAATCGTAAGTACAGTCCATTAT